CTTGAACTCATGGGAAATAGCACGCCGAGAAAGGTTGGACCTCAACTTTAGCTTCTCTCCTCCCAACGTAGCCACGAAGTTACACGTTGAGGACCAATCAACAAAGCGTGTATTACGAGTTTAACACTTCGCGTAACGCGGTAAACATGTTATGACGCGTTTTCGCGTTAGAGTTTTTCGTGATATTGCGTTTCACGCGTGCGTTCTGACGCGAAGTGTTATCTCAACAAAACATATCGCGTTTTTCGCGTAAAACACTTCGCGTAAAACAGTTTTACGCGTAAAACAGGTGAAACTCCACTGAACTAGTTGACATACCTTCCGCTTGGCGAATATGAAGCCTGACGATATGCCGAACAACAGCGCTATTACGATAGCGGCCAAGAAGCAGTACACATAAGAAACTATCCCATAAGAATTTCCCTTCAGTCGCGAGAAGGACTCCTACGCTACTTTACCGAACACATCAGATAATTTAATACCTTCTCATAACACGAACTGGAGGAGTTATGTCCTGTCACTCCGCATCACCAGAACTACCAACCAGCAATATCGTACAGCAACACTGTACAAGGATTCAATTCATATCACCATTTCAGGGGGAGGGTACTGCTATTACTTTTAGCTGTCGAGAATCCTCGTAATGAAGGAGATGTGAGACAGAGCACACAAATGAGGAACGCTGTCGTCCAGTAGAAAAACAACACTTTCTTCGATGGCATCACCAAGAGTGGGTCCACTCTCTTCTCCTTAGCCTCCTCCACCATGACTATCGTCTTCTGGCTCGCTGACGACGGTGACTCGTCCTTCTATCTTGCCTTCTTTGTCGCATTTCAAGACTTGTATTGTTTTAAGCCCTTTAACGGCGTCTTAATCGTCGAGAAGGCTGCTACCAGGATTTAGAGGATAAGGATAATCAGCTGAGGAGGAATGATGTTCAAATAGACACCGATTAAGGCTCCAGCGACAATGCATGGCAACATAATGATGACGTATGGTAGGATGATAAGCCACCTCTTAGGCTCATGCCACTGCATCCAGAAGTTTATATTACACTGACATGAAAAAAATACTACGCCTCCCGACAGGGACCGATTTCCTTTTTACACTAGCAAGT